ATCCCCCATGAAAATAAAGTTGAATCTTTCTGTAAACAGTAATTTTCTTATTTTCGGAAATCTCTACAGACCTCAAGTACTTCACTGAAAAATTAACAACCACCTGCCCCAGAACCACCCGCGGAGACCCTCGTTGTTGAATGCGACATCGACAGAACTCGGGAAGCGCTTAGCAACACCCAGCTCCCGCAAAAAAAACCGCCTTCTCCGGGCGCAAATAAATAATATTAATAATAATTAATAATAATAAAAATAATAATAATAATAGCAGAATGGCGGCGGCAGGCGCGCACCTTGGCCCCGCGGTGCCCCCGAGCGGGCCGGGGCCGGGGCCGGCGGGGTGTCCCTCTTCAGCAGGCGCTGGTCTCCGGCGCGGCGGCGGCCGCCTCGGGGGGAGTCTCCCGCGGCTGGGCGGCGGCGTGAGGAGGAGGAGGAGGATGCCCGGCGGCGTTGATGTGGCAGCCAGAGGAGAGGTGGCTGCGGACTCGACCCTGCAGCTGGGTGACCTGGGCGCGGAGGAGGTTGGCAGTGGCGGCCAGCTCTGCGTTCTGCCCCTTGAGCGCCTTCACCTTCTCCTCCAGCCGGGCGATGCGCTCCAGCTTCCGCCGGCGGCACTTGGAGGCGGCGATGCGGTTTCGCAGTCGCTTGCGCTCTGCCTTCAGCCGCTCCTGGCTCTCCGCGTCCAGCGGCGACAGCGACGGCGGCGTCGGCGCGCTGCTGCCGCCCTCCCCGCCCGCCGACGGCGGAACCTCGGGCACCGTCTGCGGCTCCTCCAGGGACCGCGCCGGCGGCAGCCGGCCGCTTCCCAGACCCGCCGCCCCGAAGGCCAGGCCCGGCGGCGGCGGCGGCGGGGCGGAGGCGGAGGGGTAGGCGCTGCCGGAGGGGCTCAGCGGCCCCGCGGGGTTGAAGCCGCTCAAGTTGGTGTAGACGGCCGGAGGGTCGGCGGCGGCAGCGGCGGGGGCTCCCGGTGGCCCCGGGCGGGCGGTGCAGCAGGGTCCCGGCGCGGAGAGCTGCGGCGGCGCCGCCAGGAGCTGGTTCTGCTTGTGCAGGTCGGCCAGGGCCTTGACGAAGCCGTCGGCGAAACCCTCCTGTTCCTGCGTCACCGGCTGCCGGTAGAGGAACGGCCCCGCCGCCGCCGCCGCCCCGCCGCTCCCCGCCCCGGGTGCAGTCGGCCCCGGGCTGCCGGCGCCCAGCCCCGCGCCCCCCTGGATCAGCAGCTGCTCCAGGTCGGCGGCCGGCGGCAGCTTCAGCAGCGGCAGCTCCGCAGCCGACCCCAGCGCGGCCTCCGGGCCGCCGCGGGCCGCCGCCGCCCCGCCGCCGCTCCCCGTCTCCGCGGACCCCGCGGTGGGCGGCGGAGCGGCGGCGGCGGCGGGCGGCGGCGGCAGCAAGCGCAGAGCGGCCGCGCTGCCGCGGGCGCCGGCAGGAGGGCGAAGGGCGAAGGGCCCGGGGAGCGGCGCGGGGGCGGCAGCCGGCAGGTCCCGCTTCTTCCCGGCACCCAGCAGCAGCTTCTGCCCCGCCGCCGCATCGGCTCCAGGTCCGCCGGCGGTACCGAAACCCGGCAGCGGCACGAAGTCGGGCAGCAGCTCCAGTCCTTCCTCGGGGTAAAACGGCGCCTCCATCTTCACGGCGGATCGCCCGCTACGCCCGCCGCTCATGCTGCCGCCCTCGCCGGCCGGCGGCGGCTCCGGCGTGGGGCGGGCCGGGCTGGGCGGCTGCTCCGCGGGGCCGGCCGCCCTCGGCTGGCAGCGGGAATTGAGCCGCCTCCCGGCGCCGCCGGACCCGCGCCACGCCCCGGGCCCGCTGCCCGCCCCGCCGTCGCCGCCTCCCTGCTGCCGCCGCCGGTCCCCCACGCCCGCTCCTTCCCCCGCCCGCCGGGCTTGCGCGGAACGGCTTCCCGGTGGGGTGCCCATGGGGACCCCGCACTGCTCCTCCCCCACGGAAAGTCGCCCAGCGACTGCGGTGTGGGAAAGAAGGCAATGCCAGGGACTTCGTCCGGGAACGGGGGTATCTCGGGACCATCACTCCGGCCATCACTCCGGCCAGGGAGTCCTGCAGAAGGAAAGCGAGCAAGGGCCTCTCGTGGCGGCTGCTGGGGCAGGTGCTGGTGCGTTCAGTCTGTGATGGATGGGCACACCATCCATAGTGCAGGTGTCGAGGACGAATGATTCCCGACTACACGATGCTGGAAAGTCTGACGGGGGAGGTGCTTGGCCATTAGGAAACATGCCAACTAGTCAAACTAAAAGTCAGTCAGAAGATGGACATGAATTCGATGTGGCCTTTTTTTCCTGGGGAGAAAAAAAAAGTTAAGACAAAAGATTTCAAACATCCTAGACATATTTCCAACATTTTCAAAATTACTGAAGCGTGAATAGCATTTTTCAGTCTGGGGATTGTATTTATTTGTTGTCTTTACTCAAGACAATTGCCTCTGCCCTTCTCCAAGTTTCTGAAATTCTTACAGGATGAGGAAATTTATTTCCACACAATTTTTTATAAATCCCTTTTGCTTCAGGATACCAATGTGATCCTGACAGAGCTGCTGAAAGCTCTCGTTTAAGTCTTTAAAATCAGGTTGCTGACTGATGGTCTCAGTGGCTCATCTACACCAGATCTTATCTGTGATGGACCTCATCAGTTAGGTGTCACCTTCTGCAACCTACTCAGGCTTTCATGCTTTCTCACATATCAAGACCATGTGCATCTTCTCACAGTGTCTAGTGAAGCTGCTGAGCTCTGCTCTTAGCCCCATGATCTATGCGGCCATTCTGTGCCTCCTCTGTGCCTAGGTTCATTCCAAAACCAGCAGTGGAGGAGGAGATGGACAGTGGTGTCAAGTCCAGGATTTTGACTCAGAATCCCTCTTCAGGTCCATAGGAGAACTGGAGTCGAGGTGCACTGACTAAGGCCTTTACGACCTTGACTCAAGTACTTTGGGCCCCCAACTCTTGCTTATGGGGCAAGAGCTCCTTTTCAACACAGCTCAGCAGCTTCAGTCTCTGCCTGGCTGTGTCACAGGTGTCGCTCTCTTCAGCTCCATCTCCTAGGTGAACCTTGGACCTGTGTTTCCAGTTCTGTTCCTGGCACCATCTCCTGCTGCTCCTGTCTGAATTACCTGGGTGGACCTTGTACCTGGTTCATCATCTCACCTTGTACGCATGTGTCCATTAGTGTCTGCCCTGCTCTTGTGCTGCAGGACTCTGTCCAGGCTGATGAGCCTGGGCTTTAGCTCTGGTCACCCCTAGCTCACCTTGCCATAGGACAGCCCAGCTCTTCTGGTCCTTGAGGCTGTGCCCAGAAACCTGGCAGCAGGAGGACTCGAGGGAGAAGAAAGCCATCAGGCAAAGGACAGAGACAGAGGCATTTACATTGATAGGGGAGGAGTAACCATGTTTTTCTTGGTGAGGAAGGTAGTGCTAGAAAGACCTTATTTTGATTTCCTTGTCTCTTGGCTGACCTAGCAGGAGAGGGAGCAGAGCTAGCAGTGCTCAGCCAAAAGTGAGTACAGAAAGCAGCTCATGCGAGTGGTTTTGTAGAGGTATTGCTGAAGCTGCTATACGAGCTTTTCTGTCATATTCCTGGGCAGGCAAATGGCAGTGACTGGTACCTTCCATCAGCTGAGCAAAGAGAGCTGGCTAGGCAGAGAAGCCACAGCCTCCAAGCTAAGGCAAATAACCTTCTTTTCTTTCCCTCACGAAACAAGTGCAGAGGGGGAAAGTAGGCTGAGGAGAAAATTATTATCTGTGTGGGGTCAGAGAAAAAGCCATGGAAGTTCACTTGGGTGATCATTGTCACTGTATTTCTAAATGTAATGTTACACTTGACTGGGATAGCCCTAAAGGTAGGTTCCTTCATCATTCCTATACAAAATTTGTCACTTATGCAGAGTGGTTTTACTTGCTGATTAAATGCAGAATTCGAAAGTGAGCCCACAGAATGGGAACATGTCAAAACTGTTCGAAATAAACTTATTTGTAACAACAGATCGATTTTTTGAGAGACATATCTGCTGTTTGCTGATGCGCCTGCAAAGTACGTTCAGGCGAGTGACACGGAGTTATTTTACACGTCCTTTATGCAACTGTGTGTTATGACAACGTGGTCTTTGTGTTGGTTTTTTTTGCCTTTCCCCCACCCCTCTTTTTTCTTTTTTTTCTTTTTTTTTTTTTTTTTCTCCTCCCTGAGGAGACCCAGAACCTCCCGCGGGGCGCACAGTGCCAGTTTCTTCCTTTCCCTGTGACAGCCGAATTGTGCACGCTCGTCCACCCAACCGTAGCCCTGCCTGCCGGCTGGGACAACCATCCCCGGCAGCCCCGGCAAGACTTCGGGCATGGCGCGGCCAGAATGGCCCATGACGGGTTCCCCTCGGTGCAGGAACGGCCGCAGCCCAGCCCTCGGTTCCGGGGTCGTGCCCGGCGGGGCAGGAGGCGCCGCCCAGCTGTGGGTGTGGGGTGTGAGCGGAGCTGCCCAGCTGTGGGTGCGGGATGGGCGGAGCTGCCCAGCTGTGGGTGTGGGGTGTGAGCGGAGCTGCCCAGCTGTGGGTGCGGGATGGGCGGAGCTGCCCAGCTGTGGGTGCGGGGTGTGAGCGGAGCTGCCCAGCTGTGGGTGCGGGGTGTGAGCGGAGCTGCCCAGCTGTGGGTGCGGGATGGGCGGCGCTGCCCAGCTGTGGGTGCGGGGTGTGAGCGNGCTGCCCAGCTGTGGGTGCGGGGTGTGAGCGGAGCTGCCCAGCTGTGGGTGCGGCGTGGGCGGAGCACGGCCAGGAAAAGGGGGCGGAGCGAGGGCAAGGAGGCGGCCGGATTGGCGGGCCGGCAGAACAAGGCCCCGCCCCAACCCCGCGCGCTGACGCGCCCAATGGGCGGAGCGCGGTGCGCGCCGCTACCGCGAGAGATTCCGTTGAAGCTGGCGCCGCCATCTTGGAGTTGGGAGAGGCCGCGCGTCCCGTTCCCGTCCCTCTCCGGCGGGCCACGGGCGAGGGGGGGGGCCGCGGGAGGCGGGGGAACTATGGGCCCTCGGCGGTGAGTTCGCGGCGCCCCGCCGGCTCGTCTGTGCCCACGGAGGCCGCGCCGCGGCGGGCGCGCGGTTGGGCGGGATGGTGCAGTCCTGTTCCGCCTACCGCTGCCGGAACCGATACGACAAAGAGAAGCCCATCTCCTTCCACAAGTGAGCGCGCGCGGGCGCCGGGGCGTGGTCGCGCTGGGGGCGGGGCCAGCACGGGGCCGCGCGCCGGGTCCGCGGGGAGCTGGGAGCAGGGGGGAGCACGGGCGGGAAGGGACGGACGGACGGACGGACGGAGAGAGAGAGAGAGAGAGAGAGGGACGTGTCTCTTCGCGGCCGCTGAGGGTGGGCAGTCTCGTCCCCCCCTCCCGGCGTCTCCCTGGGGAAAGCAGAGGGACGGGACCCTCTGAGCCGCCGGTTCCAGAGCGAGAGGGGGCTGAGATCCCCCTCGCTGGGGAGCAGGAGGGTTTTGGCTCCGGCCAACCTCCGCCTTATAAAGCTCTCCAAAAAAGCTGAAAGTGCCGCTTTCTTGCAGGTTTCCTCTTACAAGACCCGATCTGTGCAAGAAGTGGGAAGCTGCTGTTAAGAGGAAAAACTTCAAGCCGACCAAGTACAGCAGCATTTGCTCAGAACACTTTACCCCCGATTGCTTTAAGAGGGAATGCAATAACAAGCTCCTAAAAGAGAATGCTGTGCCCACAATATTTTGTTACACTGAACCTGGTGAAAAGGTAAACCCAAAGCACCTATGGCTGCAGGTGCTGGAACGTGTCGTGAGTGTAACTGTTTGCAGCGTGGCAGGGCAGTGAGCAGGGAGAGGATACAGGCTAGGAAGGATGAAGGCTAGCAGGATGGTGATCCTATGTACCTGGGGTCATCAGGAGGGCTGTGGTGACTGAAAAACCTTCAACAGCTTGTTTTCTGCGAGGCTCTCAGACTTTGGAGCACAGAGTGTTGTACAGGCAGACACTGGATCTGGCCTGCTCATGTGTCCATTTAATTCAGCGTCCATGTGCAGAATTAAATGGAATGGCAGCAAAGTTAGAAGGTATTGCCCTGTAGTTCATCTGTTCCTGCATATTCAGAGTCTGAGAGAGCCTGCATTAATGCTTGCAAATGGCACTTACTCTCCTTCCATGAGTGATGGCTACTGCTAGCACTGAAGACGTGGTGGATGTTAACTGTGAGACTTAGCTGGCCTCTTCAAGAGGGCTCTGCCCTCTGGCTTTGCAAAGTTAAAGTGAGCGGCAGAACCTTACCTACACCTGCTTCTGTCTGTCCTGAGAGCACCGCTGTCTTGCCTTGTGTTCAAAAGCCAGACTAGTCCCTGACTTCTAATGGTAGAGTCTTCCGTGTGAAGTATTCTTCTAGTCACTGTGCCACTAGCGCAATTTACTGTGAGATGCAAGTCATTTATGAGTTCTAACTTCTAGAAGTAATAATTTCAAGACAAGAATGGAAAAAAATTGATTTTTAACTACTTTAAAGGATATAAAATATGTGGTCTCCTATCAGTCTGCCATAGAGAAAGTGGCAAAGGAGATGATTGTAGAGATGTAGTAGACCTGGGCAACAAAATATTTGAAGGGGATGAAGTGCACATATGAAAACTTAATTTTCTTGTTCAGTTTTTTTCTTTATGTACAGTATTGGGAGTGCTGCAGAAATAAAAAGGCAACACATTGAAACACGTTTTCATTTAAAAAATGAAAAGTGGCTAATAACAGATATGAGAATATAAACAGAATGGAAACAAAGAGACAGACAATTTACAGGGAAATATGGATGTGGTTTTTGTTTGATTACACTTCCTTGCTTATCTGTACAATACACATTTTCTTCATTGTGTGTAAAATACTTGCAAATTTTTTTACAGTCTGAAAGCTGAATGGGTGTATAGGGTAGTCTGCAAAAGTACTGTTGGTGCAGCAGGATTAGTAGTGAGCCACGTTCCCAATTTCACTGTCATACCTGGATCTACAAAAAACACAGAAGAGTGAGTGCCTTTTAATTCTGAAGGATTTTGTTCTATTCTTATTTGTCTCATGGCACTTTTGAATAAACTGCCACATATCTTCAAGTAACAATGTAATAATGAGGAATAATAGTGGTTGTTTTGGAGTTGAATCCACGCTCATTTTGAATGACAGGTTTTTATCTTTTGCACTATGTAATTTGGTATACTTTCTTTTTCTTTACTTATTTCTTACAAGAAATATTTATTGGCTGGAAGAAGTAATTTGAAGTCACTGATGATGTCAGAGAGATAACAAAGATCTGTTCTCTGTGATATGTTGTGATGATAATAATTTCCATATAGAGGTAGCATGTGCTCTATAGCTTCAAATAGAAGTCTCTGTGAATTCATCAATCCAGCAGTGATCTGATACTTGCTTTTGTTTCTAGCAAGAGTGAGTTTCTTTTGGCTGGCTCTACCTTCTCCTTGTAGGGATATTTTGGTAGAAAAAATTGATAGTGATAGCTGATAGGGTCAAGCTCTTTAGAATATTCATATATGAATTAGGTAGGATAACAGCAGTGATTTTTTAAAACTGAGAAATAAGACTGATAGTTGGCTGATTTTGTACTTTCACATGATCAGTTATATTTGAGTGCATTTTAAACTTTCCTTTAATGCTGGTCACCACTTTCCTTCAATACCAATCACCAAACTGCCTTTTCAGTTACTGTCTGCCAAGTTGTAGTTTGTATAAGGGACAGGCAGACACCCATACGTCTGTCTTGCTTGCATGTTAAGTCAAGGAAGTTAATGATGTGACCTTCAGATCTGATGAGCTTTATATTTTGATGGTGAGGACTCTTGGCTGTTCTTAAAATCAGCGTTTTCATGGTCCATACTCTTTTCTTTGTCCTAATAGTATTGGCAACAGGTGGGTAGGTAGAAATTTTTTTCAGTGCCTCTTTTACTGAGAATGTTTTAAGCTTTCTTTTTAATAGGCAGTATGCAAACTCTTTGTTTTCAACAGTGCTTTTCCAATCAACATGTGCACAGAAGCATTTCTGAATTATTCTGGATTCCTTTGGGGGAGAAAGAATCTGATTCTCTGCTCTGGTCTATACTCAAATGCCTTGGGATATGTGTTGTTCCTGACCTGTACAAGTGGACCTACCAAGAGCAGTGTGATAAAACCTTCAGTTTTATCTGCAAAAAAAACCTGCAATGGAGTTGAGCCAATTAATATTTTGCAGCTGCCAAAAGGGAGAACTGTGCTTCTCCCCTGTCCATTCCATCTGCCAGCTATGCAGTCCTGTTCCTTAACATGACCTGGCAGTGTGAGCTCACAGCCCAGAAAGCCAAACGTGTCCTGTGCTGCATCCAAAGCAGTGTGGGCAGCAGGGGAGGGAGGGGATTCTGCCCCTCTGCTCTGCTCTGGTGAGACCCCAGCTGGAACCCTGCATCCAGCTCTGGGCTCCCAGCACAGGAAGGACACAGATCAGTTGGAGTGAGTCCAGAGGAAGCCAGGAATATCACCAAAGGGATGGAGTACCCCTCTTAGAGACACAAGCTGAAAAAATTGGGGATGTTCAGCCTGGAGAAGAGAAAATCATGTGGAGACCGCATAGCAACTTTTCAGTATCTAAAGGGGGCCTACAAGAAGGCTGGAAAGGGGCTTTTTTATAAGGGTGGGTAGTGACTACAAACTACAGGAGAGCAGGTTTAGATTAGATATTAGGTATAAATTCTCCACTGTGAGGGTGGTGAGGCACTGGAACAGATTGTCCAGAGAAGCTGTGAATGCTCCATCCCCAGAAGTGTTCAAGGGTTGGATGGGGTTCTGAGCAACTTGGTCTTGTGAACGGTGTTCCTGCCCATGGCAGAGAGGTGTTGACACTGGATGATCTTTAGGGTCCCTTCCAACCTAAACCATCCTAAAAATCTATGATTCTCACTTTTTCCACATATCAGGGCAGGTATATATCATACCTTTTGTTGCATTGCTTTGATGTTTAATAATTGACAGAGAATCTGTGCAGTGATAGTGGGAGATCAGATAGCTTTCTGTCATTCTAGCAATTACGTTTGAGCAAAGAGTAAATACCAAGGGTGAGAAGGCTGCTTTGCTGTTGAAGAGCTGTTTATTTTGATTCATGGTGTCTCTATTAACCAAAACCTTATGTTGCAGCCCAAAACCAGTATCAGAGTCCCTCCCAGTTGTTGAGAAGACTGGTCTTACCATGTCTATCTCTCTGCTTTTCCAGCCTATCGGCCCGCTCAGTAGTTGACCCTTATTCTACCTCAGCAGAAGATTGTCTGCTTCTGATGTGGTTTTTATTAACTTGGCTGCGAAGTTCAATTACATAGTGGTATGGTGCAGCAGAAAGGAGGAGGGACAAAGGGGAATGGGATGGTAGCAATGAGTTACTAGGTCATCTGAATTCCATTTTATGAAACTGCAGTCTGTGTTCTTGATTCTTAGGTAATTATATAGATTTAAAAAATCGAATGTTCAAAAAACCTACTTAAGACATCAAAGGCTTGAGTTTCAAAGAGCCCTTAAAATGAAGCTGCTTAAAAATACATCCAGTTGAGAAGCCAGACAAAGCAGGCACAGAAATGTTTGCCAGTTTTGAAAATAGTTTCTTTGAAATTTATTTTATTAATTTAAATCCTGGTTGTTTAGGTTAATCTGGGGCTGTAATAAGAGGGTTGTATTGTAAACAATGTTAAGCATGAAAATATATATTGTTTTCTTGTTCTTTCTAGTCTGAAGAATTTGCAGAGCAGCCAGAAGATCCACTTCCACCTCCTCCGCTGCCACCGCCACCACCGCCTCCACCGCCACCACCACCACCAGCAGCTCCAGTACTACCACAATCCCCATCAACTCCTTCTTTTCATTTGTCTCAAATAGATGCCAGATTTGTAGATCCAAGTATTGGATTATTGATGCCCCCTCTCCAGACCCCAAGCAATCTTGCCGTTTTTTGCGATCATAACTACACCGTAGAGGACACAGTCCATCAGCGAAAAAGAATTCAGCAGCTGGAGGAACAAGTTGAAAAACTGCGGAAGAAGCTCAAAACAGCGCAACAGCGGTGCCGGCGTCAGGAAAGACAAATTGAGAAACTGAGAGAAATTGTTCAGTTTCAGAAGGAAAAAGACATATTGGCAGGAAAAGGCTATGTGATTCTGCCTAATGACTATTTTGAAGTTGTAGAAGTACCTGCCTAGCAGTTGTGAACATCAGTTTTCACTTTGGTAGGCTAAGAAATTTAGGTAAAAAACTAAATTCTTTCTAATATGTAAGACTTTCTAGAATTCTAAAACAGTAATTAAGCAGTCATATAAATAAGATCATATTTTTTCTTCATTGTCATTTCAGTTTGATATACTTTTAATATATTGAAGATGCAAGCATCTCAGAATTAGAATATGCAATTAATTTACAAAATATGAATTGCTTCCAGAAGGTAAGGATGCCAGATTGAAGACACATAGGAATTTACTTTTTTTTACAATGTCTGTGTTATGAGTACAGGGGCTGGGAACTGAATCTGGCTGAGAGTGAAGTTTAGGTGGTTGTACACCTAGTGCTTTGTCAAGACTTTTAATGCTGGCTTTGGTAATCCCCAGTAAGTAGTTTTCACTGATTTTTAGAAAGAACAGAATTAGGTCAGCTAACATCTGCAAGTGCTGCAGAAAGATAGATAAGGTGCACATTTCAGTCTGGGAAAACTTCCAACTTCAGTTTGCTATGCATTTGAAGCACTGCACAAAGTCTAATTCCTGCATCCCTTTGGGTGAGGTATGTAAATGAACCACTTCTTTTTGAGTAGCTGCTCACCACATGTATGTTTTGAGGGCAATGAGGAGAATTCATTACCATAGCTAACAAGAACTCTAGAACCAGCTTGTGTTTTGAGGGCACTTAAAAATAGTCCTAAAGTTCAGGGCTGTACTGAACATGTATGTTACTGCACTGTTGGCAGGATCAATAAGACAATATACTGTTTACAGTGACTGCTTGCAGAAGGACACTGATAATATACAGTCCCAATATGTTGTGGGGTCATCTTCCCATAAACACTGTAACTGGTAGAGTGTTGTCCTTGGCTTTGAAATTAACTCGCATGTCAACCATGTGTATCTTCAGGAAATGAAGTAAGTTTGTTCTTTATCCAGGGAGTCAGGCATTGATGGCTTTGCAGTATACAGTGGTTTTATTTCTTTCATTTTTTCACTCCCCAGAGGGCATCCACCAAAGGGCAAATAGGGAACTAGACTTTGGAGTTGCTTGGTGCTAGACTGGTTTATAATATCTCAAATGCTGCTGCCTCTTCTTCAGCCTTATTAAGACTCTTTCTAATACTAGCATGACAAAGTGCAGCAGTTTGCACTTACTTTCTAATAATTTATTTAGTCAATAAACTCGTTCAAAATGAGAGGAAATGGCTAACCCTAATGTAGGCTTCACAGCTAAAATTCCTGCATATACAAGACATGGGGAAAATTTCTTTTCTCAGTCTGTGTCAAACTTGTTTGCAGTGTGGGTTCTAGCTCTGATGTTAAACAAACCTTGTTCATGATGGCTTTAAAAGCGTCCCTTAATATCCTGTTAGCATGACATTTTGAAATATTTCAAACCAGTCTTGATTCTTCTGACCTCACTCATGCCATATGTCTATTTTCCCTATCATTTCATACACTTAAAATGAACAAAAATGCCAATGCTTCCTTTTGTGTACATTTATTATACCTAATTAAAAATTTGAAAAGCAAATGATGTGTTAGATTTTTAATTACTCTCTCTTCTCTTTTCCCAGGAGTTTTCCAAAGTTGTCTTGACTTTTGGATTTTTATTTTCTACTAGTTTCCTTGTTTAGATGTTGGGTTCCCAAGCCTTGTTGCTGTTACACTTTGTGTTTAAAATAGGTAAAATTCAAAAGTGAAAAGGAAAAGACATTTAAAAGACTGTTACTGTGCTGTTGGCATGTGTGCCAGATAGCAGATTGTGTCTATTTTCTCTGCAGAATATCCTCTTCTTACTCTGCAGGAATTTCAAGTGTGGCTTCTTGAGGCACAGTTGATTGCTGCAATCCCACACCTCCTGCCACCCACCTCTGCACCCCAACACTTGGTTGTGTACTCCTGCTGCAGGAGGATACACAACCAGAATACAGAACAGGAGAGGCAGCAGAGGGCCAGCAGTACCACGTCTGATACAAGTTAAAGACAAGGCCAAAAGCAGGGCATGAGGAGAAATGAATCCTCGGGGTGCAATGAGCCTTTTAGCAGCTTCTTCTGAAACTACATGGGTAACTTCCTACTCTTAGTGTTCAGCACCATTTCTTTCCACCTGGGCCAAGCTTCCCTGTTTCTCCCACTCCTAATGCTCTGGCTGCTGTGCTTGTTGGGCTCTTCCTTTGGGTGTTTTAGTTTCATAACCCTTCAGGGAAGCAGCCAAACAAAACAAACGTCTGCAAGTTAAATTTAAGGTACGCTGGTAGATGGCTGATAGATGGTTGGTGTGTGGAGTCCTTATATTTTTAAGCTGTTTGCATTGGTGAAGTTGATTTAACTGCTGACTCAAATAAATGTTTCTTCTATTGAGAGGGGTCCTGGTTTGAAAGACAGGTGTGCTAGGGAAGAGCAGGGCCTTCCCTCGAAATGGAGCTAATAAACCCTTCCCTCTGAATTAGTAAAATTTTGAAATTGAGGGGCTCTCAGGCAAAGAGATGGGGATAGGAATAACAGTACTTAACTAGTATATCTATATAGTATATAGTTAGATATACTACTAGTATATCTAACAAGACAATCAAAACAACAACAGCTATGAAATTAACCACAAACAGTCCCAGTCCTTCTCGGCCCAGGCTCCCTGCCCTGCTCTGCAGCTCCCGGGGCTGGGCAGGGACAGGTCCCGCTCGGCTGCGGGAGCGCTGGGGGTGATGGCAGCGCTGTCCCAGCAGGGAAAGGGATGCAGGACAGACTTTGCTCACAGCTCCCGGGGCTGGGCAGGGTGCTTGGGGATAGCGAGCTGGAGCGAGAAAGACCCCAAGCAGGGCAGCAGTGCAGGGCTCAACAGCAGAAGAGGCAAATCCCGGTGTTGGGATGGCGGGCGTGGTGTAGCAGCAGCAGTGACATTCCTCCTCAGACTCCGAGAGCGAGCGAGCAACTCCCTCCCCGCCTCCTTTACCTGCTTCTAATTTCTAACCCCCCCTTACCCCGCCCTGCGAGAGAAACTCCCAAAAAAGCAGGGAGGCTCTCCCTCCTCCCATCTCAAGGACCCATCAAGAAGCCATCAGAGTTCCTTAGCACGTCAATGGGAAAAAATTCCACAGGCAGGGAGGAAAGGGAAAAGAAACAACCCCCAACAAGAGGGTTAATTATTCCTTGTCTGGACAATTTCGGAAGTAATATGCTGAAGAGCACTGCTGCCTAGTTGTCTTCCTTTCCACTTACCAGAGGATTTTTCTGAGAAGAGAGGCAGCCTGTTGTGACAACAGACTTGAATTACTCCTGCAGCGGCTGTTGGGGTTTTTTTTTCCTTTCAAAAAAAAAGTCTTGTTAACTCCTGATGTAGTCGTGTCTGGACTAAGTGTGAACTTTAGTAGACCTGTGGGGGACTCAGTACCACAGAGCTCTGAAGTGGGGAGAAAAGACTGGTAAAGAAACAACTGACTGTCTTTAAACAATTGACTTTTTATGCACTGCACCCTACTCCTCACTCTTTCACAATCTCTCTTGTTTGGTAGCAGTATAGAAAGAGAAGATGAAGGCTCTCTGCTACTGACGAGGCTAGGAAAGAAATTCCAGCTAATAAGCACAATATGTTCCACAAGCATGTGTTAAAATTTCCTCCTGTTTTGGGATCTGTTACATCCACGCAATCATCTGTTGAAGAGGTCTGCAACAGTTACTATTTGCATTGGCCACAACTGGTACCTGCATTAGCACCAATTTCATAAGCATCTCTGAAAAGATGTGATTGGGAGTTAGAAAGCAGAGGTTGTAATTGTAGGATGGATGTAGTTGTTCAAGTGTATGTGAAGTAGCTGACATTTGTTTAAAAGCACTTTACTGAAGCCTATTCTATAAACTGAATAATTCAAGCAAGTTAGAAAATAGCAAAATTGGCAATGAATGTTTGATCATTAAATTATAGAAAGATTTATTTTGAAACGGGCAGATGCTTCAATAGATAGGAATTGGAGTCACAACAGAAGTCTTGGCTTAATTCTCCCTGTTGCCCCAGTTCCCCTTTTGCTGTGGCAGGATATCTGAGTTATAAGTAGTGTTTTCTTTTTTCTTCTTACACGTCTGCAAAGTATTAGATTTCCCTAACTGGGACTTTTCAAACTCAGAGCCATGTTTGTTTTATGGGAAAAAAAGAAGCTAAATACTTGAATTACTTCTTGTCACGCTGAGGGAGTTCTTTGTCACTGCTCTGTTTACTCCTACCTTTCCAGTTCCCATCTTGTCTGTGTTGTCACTGGTGTGGTGTTAAAAACTGTGGCAGCAAATTAAGGAAATCAAAATGTCCAAGAAATCTTCTGTTCTTGCTGACATTTCATTTTCCTTCAGCTCTGTTAGGATTTAAGGCCTTGGTGTCCTGTGTGAATCATGAAGGATCTCTCTTGCAGCTGAAGAAAGTGCTAAGCAAATCCCACTCTAAATGTAGGAAGAAAGAAAGGAAAATTGTTGCTTGGGTAAAATTAAAACCTCAACAGCTTCTAAATACTTTCCAAAGGACTCCTCCTGATACTTGCTTTTCTGGACCCAGGCAATTATTCCTCGTTGCCCATTGCTTGCTTGCTTGCTTTCATGAGATCTGTTTTAGGTTTTAGTCTGTAGCCTTATCTGTTTCCTGACAACTTACACCTTCATCAGGTGGCTTTGGCAGGGTGGAAAGGGGTGAGCCATCGTCTAATTTTAACCACCAAAACACAATCTGCTGAAGCATGTTGATGACTGCATGTTCAGGTATGTAACTCCTGCTGTTTTAAGCACAGCAGTTTATCTACCACACTCTGCCACAGCAATGATTTGTTTATAAATGAGAAAAACAGGATATATGACTCAAAAATATTACAGCAATTGCTCTTGGAGATTTCTTAGAGAAAGGAAATCCCTTTGCTCTTGTTCGATGCTTTCAATGCAAGTTTTATCTGCATATGGAGATCTTTGATAGAACTGCAGCATTTTATTGCACAAAATTGGCAGAAAGCCTTACAGTGTTATATAGGCTGAAAGAGTTTAAAAATGGGCAAAAAAA